ATAAGCGGGTCTTGTTTCAGCAACTGTGGAAGTTTAGATTGAGAAGATGGGCTTTGTACCTGGCTACAACAAATCAGATATTATTTCACCAGGAGGCGAAACATCGGTCGAGGCTGAGGTAGCGCCGGAGACAAAAAAGTCGAAGCAGGAGCACCAAAGGCGGTTTCCAGTGATCTATGGTGATGATGAGGTAAGTATAAACAAACTGAATTCATTGGATCAAGAACGAACCATATGTTTCAATTCTGTTGGACGTGGTTATGCCTTCTAGATATTCAGCGACATCTATTATGACGTCTATGACCCCTATGCGGCATCAATGAGCGTTGTGCTTGATAGGTGGGTTCACCATTCGCGCTGAACAGTTTTCTTTTAGAATGCGTTCATACTCTGCGTCAGCGTTTGGGGCGTACAGCTGCGTTTTGAGCGCACGCCAGTGTACACCACCTTCTGAGCACAAGTGTAGTATAGGTATCGATCTAATGTTCTGGGCGTACGCCGGCGTATTCCAGGGTACATGCCCATACCATGCGCTCAAAGCACGCAAAGTAAGAACGCACTCTAAGGAAGTAATACAGATATTTGCAGAAAGGAGAAATCGCTAGAGGAGGAATCGCTCTTGGATGACTACAAAATATCAAACGAAACCGGAGACTCTAAATCCGAGAAGCAAGATGCTCAGGCAGGAAGCAGTGGTGATTGCCAGGCGGATGTTTCGTTTGCTTTCGATCCGATAAGAGATGCTCATCTGGTTGCCAAGAATGCGTACGATGCGTATAGGGACGATGAGGTTAGCAGTCATTCACTATCGTAACCCTTTTCGGCCCTTCTTTTCAAACATTTCTTAGCGCTGGTTTTTCGAACTGATCATAGAGTATTGGCCGTTATGGGGTTTTCTCGATCCTTTGCAGTCGAAACGACTTTCCAAACCCGTTAGGGTTTTGATCAGCTGCGTCCGCACGAACGTTGTCCAGCCACGAAGAGGTACCAAAACTTATTTGAAAAGGCGCCAAAGACCTAAGTGAACCTGTTAGGTTTGATGTCTCATTTCCTTCTGGTGCGTAGCATATGCGGCATGAGGGTCCGAGCCGCCTCAAAAAATTGCCAGATCAAATAAGTAATGCCGCCTAAGACCGTTTTAACTGAATGTAGCAGTTTCCATTCAAAAAAGAACACTTTTCGTAGGTTTTTATCTTTTTATTGTGTTTTTTCTTGAAATTGCTTTTCGCTGCCCCCTTGAGTGATACAGAATCCAAAATGAAAACTGTGCGAAAATGGCAGAGATTTGTCCGCAGCTTTTTCAAGTCGATAAGAATATATCGGCACCCATGAGCAGGACGTGCGTTATTCACTAGTGCTCCTGAATACTTTTTTACTGCTTTTTCTTAGGAATTCATCAAGTACTCGTAATCAGAATATCGCCGTTTTCACAACTGGCGGATTTCTTCTTGCGACGAGGTTTGGTTTGTATTAGGTTTCTTTATGTTTCTCTTCTGACGAACCTCTTCTTGCTCACAATATTCTCCCTTTTCCTTCATTTTCCTTTTGAGACATACATTTAGAAGCATGCGTTGTTGGTGAGTGGTGCCGTGGACGGGCCCGTGCTGGTTCTCGGTCACACCGGAGCGGATAGCCGAGCATATCGCCGATCGAATGGTTCGACGACCGAATATGCTGATTGTTGATGCATTTGCTGGTGTTGGTGGTAACAGTATACAGTGGCACCACTGAAGGATGCCATCCAGGGATAGGTTTCCAAGGGCTGTGCTATGCGAAACAGGGTTTAAAGGCCACGGTTCCGCGATCAGTATTTTTTCGAAGTTAAAAGTTATAGCGGTCAGGAGGTTGGAGTCGGTCCCGCGACGAACAGCCTTGTACCAGTTCGCGGCAAAAAATTCTAGAGAGGCGGCCCTGCTGCGCAATATAGCGATCCAGGTGGCTCCTCCTTTTTTTCCAGTGACTCCGCCTCCAGACTCCGCCCCTAATGACCGAAATCCAGTGGAAAATGAGATTGCAGGACGAAAAAGCATGATAATCGTCACTTGTACGATCGTAGAAATCTTATCGGTGACTTAGCGTGCATATGAGGGCGTAGTTTTGGGGATAGAGTTTGATCTGGGGTATACAACTGGGATTGAATGAGCGTTCCTCTATCGGTAGGATGGGCATGTTTTTTTTGTGCTTTTTTGTTCACAGTCGAGTTACTCAACCCCTTGTCGTCTATATGGAACCCCCTAATCCACCATCTGAGATGGCGAGTAATCGCGGGTTCTTCCTTTAAGCTGTAGTATTTAACGAGTAATCTGCCAAGGCTGAGATAAAGTAGTTGTATGAGGGTACGTTTCAAAGGGTGGGGTAGTAGAAGTGTCGCTAATGCGGAATGCCTCTTTGTTGCGGACCTGGCTCGCAGTAGACTTGTCTGATGGGATTTCGCTGCCTCAGCAACAAAGTGGCTGCCTTTTTTCTGCCTGAAAATACACTTCAAACGTGTAAAGCAAAAAGTACTAAATTTTGGAGGTTCATTTTCGAGTAGTGCTGTGTTTGTCTTTTATCGAATGGTTAAATCCTCACAGTAATCCGTGCAGTTTTAGTGATTGCGATTGACCTGGATCCGGTTCGACTGAAATGCGCTCGCCAAAATGCCAAGGTATGCTCAGCCTGCACATGTTCTCCGTCGCATTATATTTTTCTCTTTCCTGGGTTCCAGTCGAATTCTTGTCCAGTCGCCATACAGCCATTCGTCTTACAGCTATTATAGTTTTTTTTAGTGTTGATTAAGTTTGAGAGCTTGGCAAAAACAGAACGATTTCGCAGCAATAGGATTCCTCCTAGAATGATTTTTTCTTATGCTTATGTTGAACGTATCTGAACTCATTAAGGTTTATGGTGTCGAGGAACGTATAGAATTCATCTGTTGTGATTTCTTCCATTTCGCTGCCAAGTGGATGAGCGATGTCGGAAAGTCGGCAGAGGTTTGGCAATTTTTGTTCACTTTCGGCGCTTCTCTCATTCAGTATCATTTCGTAATTCAGGTGGACGCAGTATTTCTTAGCCCTCCGTGGGGTGGACCAAGCTACCTGAAATCGAACGTGAGTTCTACTAGAGGTGTTGTAGGCGTAGTTCGGCTTGATGAGGTGTTTTGCTTGTCCCTATAAATCAGTGCTTATGCCCCTCCTTATAACACCTCATCCCTCTCGTGGAGACCTGTTGATTTGTGAAGCTATGCAATAGCACGTGCTTCGTTCACACCAGAGAAAAATCAACGAATCTCGCCACGGTAAGACGTTCAACTAGAACAATGTCTTTCTCCCCTAAGCCGAACGCGCTTTGTTGTATATATCTTGAGGTGAAAATCGGTGGTTGTAGGATTTCGATCTGATGATCACGCGAACGCGTTTTGACATCTACACCGCCAGCACGAGAAGATGTCTCGAATATTGCCTACTCTTACGAGAAACACGGGGAAGTGAAACAGGTGAGCTGCCCACGCGCTTTAGCCACTGGCTGATGAAGGATATTACCGAAGCGCCTGTCAGGTTTAGCTTGCAGTTTTGCTTTTGTTCTTGCCGCTTTTGGCTGTTTTCCATTGCAGCACGCGTCGTAGATATGTTTGAAATGGCGATGTCAATACCACCGATAATGTGGAAATGATCCAGATTTCACCGTGGAGGAGGAGGGGAAGGCAACATCTCCGGTCGCGTTTCCGGATTTGTGGTATTTTTTAGTGCAGCCTACTAGAGCGTTTATCTTTCGTGCGCTTGAATCTGCAAAATCCATAAAGTCTATTGTGCCAACCCTCTATCCAACAGAGATGACGTACCCTGTTATTCTACGCCGTACTAGCAATAGGAAGGGTTATTTTTTTAGCTAACCCCTTGAGAACCAGGTGCCCCACTAAGTCGATGTTGTAGTGCCACGCGTAAAAGAACCGTTGTTCTTAGCCTCTCTCTTATAATTTTGATTTCCTGAAGTTTTCTCTATACGACTTTGGGCGCTGTTCGGCCAAGGGTGGAGGGGAAGGAGAGCCTCTTGCCCTTTCGCTATTTCATTGCGCAAAGTCATATTAACTTTTGTGAAGCTACAAACAAACCGAACTGCACTGGACCTTGGATCCACTAAAGAACATGCATGTATCACTACCGGTGGAATTTGCTATAGATTTTCTGTTAAAAAGGTTGAAGTGGCGGATTTTTCCCCCCTTTTTCAGTCCGAAAGCTAATGACAATCACTTTCAGCGTGTTTTGACAACTTGTTTCTTTCAGTATAGCGGCAATATAATTTTTTAGTTAATTTCGCTGAGTGGACCGGGAGGAAGATGCGAAATCGAGCAGAGTTGCTTGAATAAGAAAATTAAGACGCTCACAGTATATTATGGAAACTTGGCTGTTCAAAGAGAAGAGTGAGCTTGTATATTTCTGTACATCGCACTTTCTTTGACGGCACTGTCAATTTGTTGTTGCTACTTGTAAGTTTCATGTTGTTAAGATCCTCGTTGATAAAAGCTGGAAAGTTCTCATATTCGATTTATGATGAATTGTATTGTTGTTGTTTTCTTTGTTCTTAGCATTTCACTTATAATGCAAATATGTTCTGGGGAGTTAAGGGTCAGGAGGTCCGAGTTGCGGCAGTTGCGGCTTGAGCGGCAAAGAACACGTGAAAGCGGGTCATTGCAATGTGGCCCGCCGCTCCTCGGATCTACTAGCCTAAACCCTGTTGTGATATAATATGCATAAGCAAAGTCAATTGTTGATGTGACATAAAGAGTCACCACGTACCTGTATCGTGTACAGATTTGCCTGTCAGCTCCGACAGAGCAGTTCATAAATGGCTGGAAAACTGTGATGTGGCTTTCATTACAATATACAATGACGCTTGATGGGGAAGTCTGTACAATATAGTCTATAGTAATCATGAACCTTACCACAGGAACGCTGAGTTGAGTGTAAAAGTCTTGACCCCAGGCGAGACTCAGTCGCTCGTGGCACTTTCCGGGCATCAGGCTCTATCCGCAGTGCAATCATGAAAACCCTCTTACTCCC